GAAGGACTGGTAGTAGAATTTTCCCACAATGATATGAGTTGAGCTAACGTTTCCATTGAATTTCACATAGGGGAAGAGATTCGTAGGTTGGCCATTATGGAAGTAGAAGATGGTGGTAGTCTATTTTTTCTAGATGTCCTAGTTAGCAAAGGGATAGACAAACTACGTATAAAAGTGTATAGGAAACTCATAAATGCGAAGTCCCTTTTAAATTTCTTTTTAAACCATACTTATTAAATCCCTGATAATAAGGAGCCTGCGTCCTGCAAATGTTAATCACAGGAGCAAAACTGATGAGATTAGGGAAAAATTTCGTTGAGAACGACAATTACTTTAAAATATTAGCAAATAAGATGAGGGACGCATATATTCGCGGCAAGATAGGCAGTTGGGCGAATCTATTATGGTTCTAATCTTACCGTCGTGTCAGCTATTGAAAAAGATAGGGGAATTGCTATGGCCAGTGCATAAGGAAAAAGTAACACTTTCCTTGGTAGTGCCACGTTTTGGGAAAGTTTCAAACCCTCTCTCAATAGGGTTTTGTTTCCATGTGGTAGCGTCTATGTCGAGGAGACCTGCCGACCCATGCATAAGAGGTTATCTGAACACTAAACAGCCTGCACAGGTATGTGAGTCCAACAATCGGAATTGACCGGAGACCTGGCTCGCATAGGACACTGGATGGGCCAATCTAAAGCCAAATACTTTGCCGACTATAGAGACCATACGAATATGCGAAAAATTATGGAATTAATAGAAATCAATAGAGATAGAGATAAAGACAGAAGAACCGCCGAGCAAGAGGTTTGATCAGGCTCAAGTGGGATCTGCACTTTCACACCCAACGCGTCTAACGAGCATTGTCCGCAAAGTACTCATATGCAATGGAACACAATCGCATGCGGCAACAGTGCAGGATTGAAAATATAAGTGATTTAGCTAAATATGCAGCTATTCAGTCACTATTACATCCGTTTCACGCTTCATCTATAGCCACTGCACATGTCATTTACAGCCATTTCACTTTTCCGCAAGCATGTAGGGAAAACATGGGATATCCAAACAAATCATCCCGTTTCTCGTTGGCGGACAAAGTTAGACTATAAGAAATTGGTAGGATTGCAGCCAGCCAGCTTTCTGACCTACCCGTTTTGATGGAGTATTATAGAGCATGGTGTCCTGCTCTGAAGATGTCCGTCACATGACAGAAGAAAGCTCAACAAGGATTCATCAGGGTCGCTAAGGCTTAATCATCCAAGGAAATGCATGATTTGGACTGTGTAAGCTCGTAAGCCTTGTTTGGTTGCTGAGCTTAATCGAACATGTTAGGCGAGTGTGAGTGTGGTGAGGTCAACCTAGGAATACTCCAGAGTATGGTCATAAGAAGCCTACGACGGACCGAATCTGAGTTCTGGCAAGAGGAGCTGGGAAAACTAACTCAGATGTTTCATGGAAAAAGGATATCCAGAAGAAGCAATACAACGCAGCATATGGATGGTGATGAACAGATGGAAGGAAGGAGATTATGAGAGGAAAGCAAGAGGAGCTGAGGAAAAACGATGGATATGTCTACCCTCCTGCGAATTGGCTTGGAAGCTACGGCCGATACTAGGCAAATGGAACATTCGTACAATCTTGAAGGAAAAGACAACCCTCTTTACCAGCTTGTCTAACCAAACTAAAAAAGTCAACAAAATGGAGCACTCCCAAGTTTACTGCATAAACTGCAAAAACTCTAAATAAAAATACATCAAAGGGACGTGAAGGACAATCGGCACGAGGATCACAAAACTCCAGCGACTATGCAGAAAAATGGATACGGAAAGATCGAAGATAGCTGAACACATCGCCCCTACAGGCCACACAATTGACTGGAGTGCAAAGGAAGGACTAGCTTCATATGCAGAAAATACATGGAAACAGAAGATCAGGGAGACTAGACATCCTCTTCCAAAGACACCTGATGAACAGGAGATTAGAAGAGGAAGGAGTCAGAAATAATTTCACCTGCTGTCTGAGCAGACTTTGTGATTCAGCGAGGAAATAAAAAAGAAGACACTTTGACCGAGAATAACTGTTCAACAACAGGAAGAGAAATCGCCAAGGGGCGGCTCTTGAGGGACAAAGGAAAGTCAGGAAAATGCAGTGAGAAAAGTTAAACCAGGAATTGGCCACACAATTTAATCAGGGGGGTCACCTGTGAGACGTAGGAGATGAAATAAAAGGCTAAATTTATAGGTGGACCAGATAGGGGCCACCCGTGTGTATGCGTAGGTGTTTGTGTGTATTTTTCGTATTGTCTGAACTGGAGGTGACTGATGACATTCTTAACCACGGGAGATACTAGCCAACACACAAACACGAACATCATCGCAGTACCCTAGGGTTAGATGAGAATGCCAACTAGAGAGACGAGATGAGTGTGCTTTTCGTGATTCATAGGAAAAGAATGGAGGTGGTGCATTTTCACACAAGTGATTATGACATAAGCCGGGCACAGGACTGTAAATACTGAGACACAATGTGGGTGGGGATGAGGGAGAGGATAATCGAGTCATGGGTTTGAAGCCTAGAGAGAGAAAGATTTACAGGCACTGGCATATACATGAGCATGTAGATGGACATCATCTGCCTTGAATCCTCGACTATGGCATAATTGAAGACGGTTATTGAAGGCTCTTAGGTAGCCAGATTCCAGACAGCCAAACAGGAATTTTGATATCAAATTGGTGTGGCCTTCTGTTTGGTCGCAGTGATTTTGATGTTTTGCAGCGGCTAATTGACAAGCGGGTAGGAAAAAAATGGGCAGAATGTAGGCCAGGAGCCCTGCAAACGGCATCTGGTACCGATGGCGGAGATGATAACTCTTACACAAACCCACCTGTTGCCACACACTCTTAGGCAGTATTGGAGAAAACGAGGGCACAGAATTGTGCGAATAAGTGGATGGGCCATATCAAATGACTTGTCACTTTGATTAATTGTAGCTTTGTCCTTATGATGGAGCCTCTTACTGACGATGCCGACTACGATGCTGGCGATGCGTTTGGGAATGTAGCAAGTCAATGGTAATATGGCAGAGGAGACAGGACCAGTTACGTTACACAAGGTCTTCCTGAAGCTCCGACCAAGTTGCGAAAACAAAAACACCAACCAACACTATGAAGCTAAAGGATACTGCGACAAAACAGAAGGTCACACCATCTTGGTCTTCATAGCTACGATCTATGATTCACTTCTTCATCCACTTTCATCTGAAACGGAAGCCTTTCAAGCAATGTTATCTCAGGAGCTTAATCGAAACCCAGTTTTTAGTCGTATCTACAAAAAAGTGCTGCATGCCGAAAGCATATGAGGGAAGACAAAAATGTCAAAAATAGGGGGCACTCTTGTTTAAATATGCTTTTAATTAGGAAAATCTCTTTAGAATTGGCATAAAACCAATTAGTTTTTGAGGTTTTTCTCATGTCTACAACTTCAACTTTCAGTATGCTCAGATGCCAGCAAGGATTCAGCCCAGCATCCGGATATCATAGTTGATCTCACAAGTCCGCCCAAGGGCAGTTGTCTTTTAGAATACCTGGCTCGTCATCTGGAAGCCGGTATCATTTCAGCCGGCACCCATGCCTGCCCTCCCCTCCGCTTGTCAACCGATCCTGCTCCTGCTTCATCCACTCGTACTAGCCTCCTCTTTGCAGACTCCGATGCCCCCCAAGCCACCGAGACCGGCCCTACTACTGTCAATTTAGATACCCATACAACTCCAGCCGTGGCCTGGCTCAGAAAGCCATCTGTTCGATTCTCTGGCTCTGCAGTACCCGAAGCTCTCACTCAATTTGCTAAGCATATATACGGTAGCATGTCTGCAAATACAATTGTATTTGTTGACGACCTGCACGGTAAGTTCGGAGACAGAGTATGAAGATAGAAACCATTCACCCTACGACCTCTTATGTAGATTCACCTCTTTTAGACGTTGATAAAATTATGTTATAGAGTCGGGGGTGGAGGAGGGTTACTTTAGTAATTACAAAGATTGCCAACCCTAAACTGGGAGAGTATTGGCTTTTATGGGATCGAAGATTCCAGAACTGACAAGTCAAAAAGCAAACGAACCAGCCTTATAGCATCGGAACAATTAACGAGCCCAGAACTCCAGGCTCTAGGTATGCATCACCGGCAAGAAATAATTTCGTCCGTTGATATATCTAGACCAGGAGCCTTTTGTTGAGCTTACTTTCATTTCGAGTGAAAGTGTTCGGTGAAGAGATTCGAAGCTAAGTAACCCCAGATTGCCTAAAGTGACCTAAAGACTAATAGGATTCACGGTGTAAATGAATTTTATATGGCCTTACCTCTCAAAAAGTATTATCATCTAGGCTGGATTGGACTACAGTTCCGTCATAGCCTAGGTGGTGACACTGTCACTATGCTGCACAGTCACGGTTGATAGATTCAATATGATATTCACGGCAAGCCAGGCCTTTGTCAAATAAATATTTATAGGGTATTGCTGATGGCACAAACGTTTGTTTCCCATTACGATCAAAGAGTTCACGTGTATTTGGTATGAGTATATTTTGAATCTATCAGTAATTTTTCAATTAAAACTATGTTTTAAGACATACTCACCCGGAATTTCAGTAACTTTGTCCACTAGATTTAAATAAGCAAGAAAAAATTGTGATACTGAAGGCGTGATGCGAGAATATAGGAATGGTGAATAGCCCAGGACAGAAGAAGAGTAACCACAACTCTGTAGCACACTTTTGGTCAAAGGATCGGCTTCACTTGTCTCTTTGACGAGTTGTAGTCTGGTGTTAAGAATGGCAAGACGCACTGACGATGCCGGCGAAACGTCTGGGAATGTACCACGTCCACGGTCCGACTTTCTAAATGATCATGCATACAATGCGTTACTCTAATTTCTTCCTACCAATATGACCAAGTTGTGAAAATTAGGTCAAACAACTTCTATAAATGTGAACTTGTAGACGCCTGACTTTCCTTGAATGTCGTCTCTGCCCTGTGACTCAATGGTATTCGTAGTCGTGTAGTCGAATGGTATCATCTTTACAATACTCACGACCAGGTTGCATTGTGATAACTACTTATCTCATTGTGAGAAAAACTTAACTAACAGTCCTCACGTCACCTTAAGCGAGCTAGGATGACTAAGTTCCTCTTCAAGAATTATTACTATTATCCAAAGCTACTTATTTCGAAATAGTTTATGCAATTTGTCAACTTATAGTATCGGCGCTTATTACCATGCTCGTCTTCTTAATGATTCCGCTCTAGACTTCGACTTCGTGCTTTTCGATTCTGGCAACGGACCACTCAGTACGCGGAATATCATCCATCTGCCGGACACCAGGAACACTAATTACACAACGATCGTATCTGGAATTCTGAACACAGTGCGATACACCACAGACTCAAGTGTATGGTTGACGGCCTTGAGACATCGGCAGACACAAGGTCTGATGGCGCTGGTGCGGCAAATTCCAATAACTGAACGGGCAAGTAAGGAGGCGGCCTCTTTGTCTATGCTGTCTGAGGTATACCCAAACGCCCCATCTAACTTGGCGGCGAAAGGAGCCTATTCACCGTTGTCCAGCTCCAGTCTAGCCAAAGTTTGGATCGTCTACGATGCTGAAGTTCAGGAAAGTCCAAAAAAGTGTCATGTTCTCTTCTCCGATCAACAGGCCTCAGCCCAAGAGTATCAGCAAAGACAAGGTCAAGTTGGAAATAATTGTCTTTCTTCGGATAACTTTGACACCTTTTACTGCCTTCGTCTAGACTGGACTGGTTGGGACAAAATGGGATTGCAAGAGTTGTCAGAAGCGATAGGAACAACG